ACCCCCTCTCCCTCCCCCTCTCCCCCTCAGTGGCATATGTCACCTCTAGAGTTCAAGGCAGGAGAACAAACCCTGTCTGTTTTCTAGTAAAAAACTTGTTTCCTCCCATCCCTCTGTGTGGGAGAAAGGGGTCATGGGGCCCCGCAGCCTGACTGGAAGAGCACCCATCAGGGCCCTTCCTCACCTCTTCAGCTGGGGGAGGAGAGAGGGGAAGAGAAGTGGGTGGGATTCACCAGTCAGTCAGTGGGTCCAGGGGCCTGGCAGCGCCTCCACGCCCATGAAGAAGCTGTGGATGCCCTCTGAGGGGATGTCTCCCACCTGCCTGCAGTGCATCTCCCTCCACAGCTCTGAGTGGGGTAACTCATGAGCGGTTTGGGGAGTCAAAGGCTCAGAATGGGACATGTTGGGCTTCATGGTCTCCCAACTCAGAAGAGACCAAGCTACCTGCATGCTGGGTCATCTGCATTTACATAGTCATTTGCATATGGACGTTCATTGCATGTAGGCCATCTGCATGTAGGTCATTTGCATGTAGAACATCATTTGCATGTAGGAGGTCATTTGCTTGCATATAGGATCACCTGGGTGCGGTGAGCTACTCACATAGGGACTGTGACCACAGTCGAACTTGGACAAACTCCCGGGAGGCTATAGGGGCCAGGGCCAAGCCTAGGGAACACTAGCAAGGTGGGAGGGGAGGAGAGGAATTGTCTGCAGACAGAATCCAGCCTGGGCGGAAAGTCTATGAGATTCTTATCGCCAATTAACCACCAAAAAGCTGGAAGTAGAGCTGTGGCTCAAGTGGTAGAGCTCGAGCCTTGAGCACAAAAGCTCAGAGATGGCACCGGGGCCCTGAGTTCAAGTGCCAGGACTGACACACAAAAGAAGGGGTGGGCAGGGCATTCATTGGAGGGCTGGTGACCTAAGGGTTCCCGGTATCGTAAGAAAAGTGGGGGTTCTGGGTGGGAGGAGCCATGATTGCTGGCCGGGGGCTCTACCTGATGACGGCTAGTTCTCTACAGATGTCCAGATGTCGATGTGGGGATGGGAGCAAGTGTGGAAATTCTCCCTGCGAGGGGAGGGGGCCATGGACACTCTAGGACTCAAGGCCTCTTGGGCCTCAGCCCCAGGAAAAAAGACATCACAGCCGTGAGTCAGCCTGAACTGCTGTCCCCTTTCCAGGAGGCCCTAAAAACCTCCCAGGGAGCCCCACTGGCCACAGCCCGGTGAGAGCTGTGCCATCGCCATTGCTGGCCGTGTGCCACTCCATGGGACGTAGGCGTCGCCCCAACCGAATGTCGCCCTGCGGGCTTCTAGAGCCTCCCCTCGGGAGCCCCGGTTTGGAACTGTGGAATGGGCAGGTGGATTAGAGCGCCATCAAACTATGGGCTCTCGGGGTGAGTAAGTGGACAGGCATGGCAGCGTGGAGGGACGCAGGGAGCCAGGGGCAGGATGCACGCCTCCACGTTCCCGAGTGGCTTCCGGAAGCGGGGCAGCCAGCCTGGGGGGTGGGGGGTGGGGCTGGCCCTGTTCTGCTGTGGGCCCCGGTGGGGTCCTCTGAGGGAGGGAGTACGGGTAGGGAGGGTGCTCAGGACTGCGGCCCTCCCCTCCCAGGGTCCCACGGGGTGGCACGGATTGGCCCGTGATGGGCATTGGCCCTGGCTGTCTGCTTGCTCCCTCACCTCGGGTTCCTGGGCACCTGACGGCCAGAGGATTGCCCTTGGAGCAGCTGCCACTCAGGAACTGCCCCTCCACCTTCTGAGCCAACAAGTGCGCAGGGCGCTAGCAGCGTCCCTTCTTCCCACGCGGCCTTTGTCATGCTGTGTGAGGGATGAGCGGGCGAGCTGTCGCGGGAGGCGTGTGGATGCTTTCTGGGGAGTCTGTCTCTCTGTCCCGTGCTCCATGAGTGTCCTGGTGTGCCAGCAGCTGTGGTCCGAGCTCACCTCCCCAAGGCCGTCCTAAGGCTGAGACCTTTTGTGCCCAGCCGGGTCGGCTGCGGGCCCTGGGCCTTGCTTTTCCTGAGGTCATCTCCACAAGCCCCCAAGGCTTGGCCGTTCTCCTGTTTCAGGGCTGTAGTTGCCATCTTGGTTACTTGTTAGAAATACGTGGGGGTGCTTTGAAAGGGGCGACTTCTAACTCCTCTGCCCAGCTGTTGAGGGTCCTAGCCCAGGTGAGGTGAGACGCCTGAGGCCGGGTAGCTCCCAGCCCCCGGCCCCCGGCTCCAGCCCCCGGCCCCCGGCTCCAGCCCCCGGCCCCCAGCTTCCAGCCCCCAGCTCCCAGTCCCCGGCCCCCGGCTTCCAGCCCCCAGCCCCCAGCTTCCAGCCCCCGGCCCCTGGCCCCCAGCTCCCAGTCCCCGGCCCCCGGCTCCTGGCCCCCGGTCCCCGGCCCCTGGCTCCTGGCTCCTGGCCCCCAGCTCCCAGTCCTTGGCCCCCAGCTCCCAGCCCCCGGCCCCCAGCTCCCAGCCCTGAACGGGTGGAAGTGAGGCTTGAAATCTGCCCATCTCTCAGTGCTGCACTTGGAATTGAGCAGGCTCCGTGGGTTAGTCCCATGTACTTTACTGACCAGCCCATCCATTATTGTGGCCAAGGACCCCCCCCACTCTCTGGATGTCCAAGGCAACCTTGGGGTGCGCCGTGACCCTGCAGTCTGACTGCGTGTTGTGTGGGGTTGCGCTTGTCACTAGGGGTCACTTGTGGGCAGGGCTCACCCCGCTCTGGTCAGGAGCCTGGACTCTGACCAGGGGAGACAGGGAGACTAATGTCCCCTTTCTTGCAGTGGAACATGACAAGGAGTTCTTCCACCCGCGCTACCACCACCGGGAGTTCCGCTTCGATCTGTCCAAGATCCCAGAGGGGGAAGCCGTGACCGCGGCCGAGTTCCGGATCTACAAGGACTATGTCCGGGAGCGCTTCGACAATGAGACCTTCCGGATCAGCGTGTACCAGGTGCTGCAGGAGCACCTGGGCAGGTGGGTGCTGGCCAGGGATGGCGTGGATAGGCCCAGACCATCTTGATGGCTCCTACCAGGGAGTGGTGTCTTTGTTAAGGTAGGTGTATGTCGTGTGATGCTTGTGTGCCCTGAAATCGGGCAGGACTGGGCGGGGACAGGAAGCGCCAGGACCTGTGCCCTGTGCGGGGATAGGTGGTTCTGTTCGCATGCTCAGGAGCATAGAGAGAGGGAAGAGTCAGGGTCCAGGGTGCCCCGTGGCCCCTCCCCCCCACAGTGGAGCCCCATGTGATGCCTGACAGCCGATCAAAGTGGCATTTGTAATTAAATGTTAGGAGGGAAAAATCCCAAACCAAAAGCAAACAGCAGAGAACTCACAGCTGTGCAAGAATCACTAGCAAGGGGGGAACCCTTGTGTTTCTGGAGGTGGTTTAATGCCAGGGATTCTGAAAGGCTAGTGAGTTAAAAACAAGTCTTTGGGGCTGGGAAGGTGGCTCCGTGGTAGAGCGCTTGCCTCGCATGCATGAGGCCCTGGGTTCGATTCCTCAGCACCACATAAGCAGAAAAAGCTGGAAATGGTGCTATGGTTCAAGTGTTAGAGCACTCGCCTTGAGCTGAAGAGCTGAGGGATGGCGTCTAGGCCCAGAGTTCAAGCCCCACAACCGATCAGAAAAGAAAAATAACAACTTAAGTCTGAGGAGACTAAATGGCCAGTGTCGTGTTTCTCTGTGGCTGAACTTTGGGACTGCATAAATCTTGGCTTTTTTTGGACTGGTCCTGGGGCTTGAACTGAGGGCCTAGATGCTGTCTCTGACCTTCTTTTGCTCATGGCTAGTGTTCTAACACTTAAGCCACAGCTCACTTCTGGCCTTTTCTGCATAGTTTCTTGGAGATAAGAGTCTCGTGGACTTTTCTGCCTGGGCTTTGAATTGCAATCCTCAGATCTCAGCCTCCTGAGTAGGATTACAGGCATGAACCCCTGGCAGCCAGTGATCATGCCACTTTTATTGTCCCCAGTGGTGTGTTGTGGCAGTTGTTAGGAGCTGGTTGATCTTTTCCTACAGGATGGAGACTCATAATAGCTGATGGGGACAGGGAACCCCCCCTGTGTTAAGGGGGGGCTCATCTTGATTACCAAGATAACAGAACTTAGAGTATCGCCAGTGTTTTGAATGTGTCACCTTGAATGTCATCTTGAATATAGCTTCCTCACCTTTGCGGACCTTGCATCTGTGAAACAGGCAGAGTTGGTGTGGTCTAGAGCCACGGCCCACAGCCATGTGATCCAGGCTCAGGAAGCTGGAAAAATTCATACTTAACAAAAGAATTTCCTTGGGCTGGGAAGGTAGCTCAGCGGTAGAGTGCATGCCTTGCAAGCATGAGGTTCGATTCCTCAGCACCACATAAACAGAAAAATCTGGAAGTGGTGCTGTGGCTCCAGTGGTAGAGCTCTAGCCTTGAGCTGAAGAGCTGAGGGACAGCGTCCAGACCCAGAGTTCAGGCCCCATGACTGGCAAAAAAAAAAAATTTCCATGCAGAATTTGGTTTGGAGGGCTGGAAATGTGGCTCAGTGGTGGAGCGCCTTCCCTGGTCAAGGGCAAGGTTGGGGGCTCACCCCCCAGTCCTGGCAAAGGGGAGAAAAGCTCAGTTGTGGATAGGCAAGGCACATTCGCAGAATAAAACTGCACAAATGAAGGCTGACTCCTCCTATGAGGCCCCTAGCCTGCCCGCCCTGGGCAGCCTGTGCCCTGCTGGGTTTTGTGTGTTTTGAAGCTGGGGCTTAAATTCAGGGCCTCACCCTCTTGCTTGGTGTGTGTGTGCCTGGGTGTGTGTGCACACACCAGTCCTGGGGCTTGAAAGTGCCTGGATGCTATTCCCGAGCTTTTGTAAAAGCACAAGGCTAGTGCTCTACCACTTACGTCGCAGCTCGCTGTAGCTTTTGCTGGTTCATTGAAGGTAAGAGTCTCATAGGCTTTTCTGCCCAGGCTGGCTTCGAGCCTCAATCCTCAGGTCTCAGCCTCCTGAGTAGCTAAGCTTACAGGCGTGAGCCGCTGATGCCTGGCCTGCACCCCATTTCTTACCCAGCAGGTTTGTCTGCTTGTCCATTCCACGGTCAGTGGCACTGACCATTTCCTCCTGCCCCATTCCTTCATGCCAGCCTCGCCTGTCCTTCCTGTCTTGTGCTTTTTAGACTCCGCAGAGCCCCATTGTGTAGGTTGTGTGGTTGTGTGGGTGGGGTATCTCACCCGATGCCCACGAGCACATGGTGGCCTCTCCATTCTGCTAGTGTGGACAGTGTCGTGGGTCTCAGTGACACACCTGGGTGTGTCTGAGGCTCTGGACGTAGCCTAGTTGGCCAGGGCCTCACCTATTGGTGGCTTTGGTAGGGACAGCTATGCTGTTTCTGCACCCCTTGTGTCTCCCCCCTCCCCCACCAAATGCGGCTGTGTGTCCTCTTCCAGCCGAAGGCCTCCCTGGCAGCCCAGTGCCCTTGCCACTGTCTGCTGTGTAGCCACCCTGGTATCTGCGTGGAGGGAGCTGTGGTCTTGCGGTCACCCACCGCCCAGCTGTCCAGGGCCAGGACATCTGGCTGTCGGGCAGAGCCTGCCGGAGCTCTGGGCTCTGGGAGGCCGGGGTGCCGGGGCGGCCCCAGGGCTTCTTCCCCTGGAGCATTACTTTCCACCAAGTCCTCTTGATCTCTCAGAATCCAGATTGAATTCCGATAATGAGCTGAGCTGGAGGCCTTCCATAGCCCCGGGCACTCCTTCAAGCCCAGCCGGGGAGCCGCCCTTGGTGGGCTGAGGGCCAGCGTGGGGCTTCGCTGAGGTGGAGGGGAGGTGTAGTGAATGGATAGCAGAGTCTCCGTCTCCTTTTCTGAACCCTGGGTGGGAAGCCGGGCCAGCTGGGGCCCAGCCTCCCGAGGCCGCCTTCCCTCTGTCCTGTGGACAAGCAGCAGGCCCAGGGGAGGGGTGGGACAGACCCCGGCCCCTGCCCAGTCCTGCAGCTGGGATCGGACACTCTGTCCTCCGTCCCTCCTGTGTCCCAGGACGGCTCCCCTGGCTGTGCTTGTGCTCAGAGCCCCGGAGGCCAGGCCTCCGTCCTCGTCACCACCGAGGTCGCGAGGCTGTCGGCAGCTGAAAGAGAAATGTCCCCTGGTCCGTCACAGGGACTCTGGTTGCCAGGAGGGTGACCTCAGCGTGCCGGCGGTGCCAAGATCCAGGTCAGCTATGGCCTGCGTCACTCGGAGGCCGAGGGGGCTGCGGTCCCGCCCGGCCCCGCAGGAGCGGCTCACAGCCCCTCTCAGTCCGGTCCAGGCCTGTGTTCCTGTGCCTGGGCCATCCTGGTTGGGGCGGTGCTGCAGCTGGCCGGCCCAGCCAGCGGCCTCCCCTGCCTCTGGGAGGCCTCGAGGCCCCCCAGCCTCCTGGGCGCACACCTGCTATAGCTCAGCTTCCCACCCCCCTGAAGACCTCTGCTCTGTTCCCCAGCCGGGGGCTGGAGCAGGAGGGAGGTGATGAGGTACTTGGCTGAAAGGGTTTGCACTTGCCTGCAGTCCCTGTGTCCCTAAGGCCACAGGGTGACCCAGGGGGGGTGGGACCCTTCCCCCCGCCCCTGCCCTGCCTTTCCCCAGCCTTGCAGGGGGCTTGAGTGTGGCCTGGGTGACTTTAGTCACAGAGCACATTGGAGCAGAGGGACATGGACACTGCCCCCCACCTGCGGAGGCAGGTGGGAGATAATGCCCCCCTCCCAGAGACCCTGGGGCCGCGGGGAGGCCCAGTGCTCTTCTTTCTGAACACCCTGAAAACCGAGACCGTGGCTCTGGTGAAAGCAACGCCCCCATGACCCTGGAGTGGACCGTGCGGGGACAGGTGCCCTCCCCTTGGGGAGTGGGCCAGGAGAGACCCCAGGAGCTGACATCAGGCTATGGATTTCTGGGTCCCACCAAGAAGTTTGCACCCTGGAGTCTGGGTTGGGGCTGACACCAACCTGCCAATAGCTCAGAGGCTTTGCCTGTCTCCCCCTCCTGCCGCCCCCCTGCACTCTCGCTTTCCAATGCTTTGCCTCATAGTTTATTCAGGGCCAGAAGGTGAGGGACCCCGCACCCCTGGAGGGCAGCCCAGCGCGCAGTTGCTTCCTGTTCCCCTCCTCCCCTGGCTGGGCCTTGGTGGGCGAGCAGAAGAGCTCCAGCTGGGCTCTCTGCTTTGGTCGTGCATGAAAATCGGTTCTGCTGATTGGTTAGGATCCATCTGTCCGTCCAGCTCATTGGGCTGGACGGAGCATTGGTGTTAGTCGGGATCTCCCAGGCTGTCCCCTGTGTGCTGGCCTAAAGCTGGTGGCCGAGACCTCGTCCTGTCTCCCCAGAGCTGAAAGGAAGGGGATTTCTTTGGGCTCAGCCCATTGTATTACCTTGGGCCTGTTTTCTTAGAGTCTTTTACTTCCTGCAGGACTCAGCCCAAATTGTGGTCCAGACCTGGATTGTCAGCCTTAGCCGCACACGAAAGGAACTGGCTGGGGGTGGTGCTGCCTTCAGGCTCAGGGACTTCTGGAAGCTTCTGGAAGTGTCTTACGGCTCTTGGAAGCCTACGTGCTGGGTTCCACATCTCCTGGCGTTCACTCCTTGCTGCTACACCTCAGCCTCAGGGTGTGAGCTGCTTTGGAGCTGCTTTCTCAGGATGGACCAGCTCAGCTCCCCCGGGAGCCCCCTGGAGAGCAGGAGGGGGAAGCTGGCAGCCACAGGGCCAGCACGTCCCCAAGGGCGGAGGATTGGCGGCCTGGGTGCCCCCTTCAGCCCTCTCCCTGGTCCTTACTCCACAACCTGGATCTCAGGCCAGGCAATACCCCTCAGGGCCTCTTGGTTCCTCTGGGACCCTCCTCTCACCACTTTGCAAGGATCATTCTGGAAAAAAGCCTGCTTTCCGTCAGTGCCACCCAGCCGGGCCGGACAGCAGGCTACTGTGTCCCATCCCACCAGCGCTGGAAATGCAGCATCCCAGGGCCAAATGCCTGCCGGCTTCCGGTCCTGC